GGTTCCAGAGGGTGACACAGGGGGTCTGGGGTGACACACAGGGGGTCTGGGGTGACACAGGGGGTCAGGGAGGACCCGGTTGGCACGAGGCTGGCTGAGGTTTGTGTGTTGCCTCCTCTCCCCCCAGGCATGCCGCTGATGTACTGGTTCTCCCGCAGAATGACGCTCTGGGGAAGCATTTCCTTCAACCTGGCCGTCTTCATCAACATCATCATCGCTTTCTTCTACCCCTACGTGGAAGCCACTTCCATGGGTAAGTGCCCAGCACCTGCTGCTCCTTGGGGTGGGAGGGATTCTCACATGCAGGAAAACTGGCACTGACCCCATCTTCAGGCTGCTTTGGGCTCCTAAAACCAAACAACAYTCGGACACAGCAACCTGGTGGAAAAAGGAAAGGATTAAATCAGGATTTCAGTTTCCAGCCCTCCTGCTCCTTCCTTCTCAGGGAAACMTCTCTTCTCCTGGGCTGGTGCACTGTGGGAAGCAGAGATGGAACAAATTCCTGTCATCAGGCAAAGCCTCCATCACCWACAGCAGCTCTGAGCTCTGGGATAAAAAACATTACAAAACGCATCAGTAAAAAACACCCAAAATCTCTGCAGCACGGCATCCTCCTCTCTGATAAGAGCTCTTTAGTGGGGCTGGGCAGATCCCTTTGACCCCCACCATGTCTCTCCCGTCCCCAGGAGTGCTGGATTCACCACTGATCTCCCTGCTCTTCTGGATCCTCATCTGCTTCTCCATCATGGCCCTGTTCACCAAGCGCTACGGGGTGAGGCCGCTGCTGGTGGCGCTGATCCTGCGCTCCATCTACTACCTGGGCATCGGGCTCACCCTCAACATCCTGGGAGCTCTCAATGTGAGTTTTCCACACCCTGGGGGGAATCAGAGAAGGCATTCTGCCTTCAAACCCCGCTCCATTCCTCGTTTCTGCCTGCCCCCAGCTGACCAACAAGATCGTGTTCGTGGTGAGCTTCGTGGGCAACCGAGGCACCTTCATCCGTGGCTACAAGGCCATGATCATGGATGTGGAGTTCCTGTACCATGTTGGCTACATCGTGACCAGTGTGCTGGGGCTCTTCGTGCACGAGCTCTTCTACAGCATCCTGGTATGAGAAATGCAGATTTTGGGGG